CCTTCATGAATGCATGCAGGGGTAGCCTTCTAAGTCAGACTAAAGCTCTGCCTGACGGACCGTAACTCACACGCTGGAGATACTATCTGACTCCCGTTGCAACACAGAACTAGCCAATGAATAAATAGAGACTCTTCACTTCATTTGGCAAACATGAGCATACTCTTCTGGTTAAGGAGTAGAACAGTAACCATAGCACTGTTGTTGAATATATTATTAGTCATATTTCCTGTTTTTTTTTTTTTAAATTTTGATTCCAGTACACTACATTCAGCCCTGCCCCAAGTTTCTCACCACCAATTTATCTCTCCCTCAATTAAATTTTCTTCCTTCCTTCTACAATCCTGCCTTCTGAGTAAATCCCATCATCTTTCAAGTTCACTTTAAAAAACGTAGGTCCCATTCTACTGACTGATTGATCTACATTTTTTTCAGAACTAACCCTGCTGCCTCATCCCATCTCTTCCTACAAAGAACAAGTGAACCTCTTTATAAATAAGCCCAGTAATTCTCAACCTAATCTGAGTTATGTTTTCTTAACAGTTTGTGATCATTTCAAGGCCATGAGCTAGGCCAAGGTGTTCTTTTCAGTACAACTCAATAATTGGTCTTTTTCTCAATGCTTGGTTTAAAAAAGAAAAAAAAAAGGGAAAAGGAAAGAGATAGAGTTCTCTCCCCATTATTTATTGTGATACCTGTTTGCTATTGCTTATCTTAGTAAACAAATGTGTAAGAGCAAATACATTAATCTGGAAACGTGTTTTCTTAAAACTATTCAAAGAATTGCTTTTTTGAAAATTGGAAACCTTATCAAAACAATCATAAACGAGTATCATTTTCCACGGCTCCACCCCTTTCAAACTGCATGTTATGAACTTAGACAAGTTACTAAATATCTCTGAGCACCAGATTGCTCCAAAAGTGAAATAATAATACCAAATGCTCAAAGTTTGTGAAAATATTAGACAGTACTCAGAGCCTAGAACAGTACCTGGGCAGACAGAAGGCACTCAGTATTTGTTGGATGCATGAATGGATGGATGCATGAACGAATGAATATAAAAAGTGCCCAGTTCAATGCTTGACATTCAGAAGGCACTCAACATACAATTACACCTAACATACCAACACTTGACACTGTTTTGCAGACAACACCCTCCCTCCCAGGTCCTTCCCTTAGCAACAGGTTGGACACTACACCCAGTGGTACTACCACAGTACTTACCACGTTCACCTCGACCTTTCCCAAGCACTCAACCCCAGCTTTGTTTTGTTCATCACTGTATGTGTGTGGGTTCTCCCCTCAACCAGATTTATGAACACGCTGAGGCCAAGGACTGCTGCTTTCTTTGGAGCCCTAACCCATTCGTTCATTCAACTCTGTTCTACGTGTTGATTATGTGAAGCACTCCCTACCTGAGACTTCTAAAAAATAGGTGCTCAATAAATATTAGTTGACGGACACAGAACCCTTACAGAAATAATAATAAAGTAAGCATTTTGCTACTATGTATAATACACAAGTAATTCTTCCAATCACGGTTCAAGTCACCAATTCTAGGTCCACTTCTGAGGAAGAAACGAAGACTCGCGAGAAGTTCTCTCAGCCAAGATCAACCAATTTCGCTTAAGTTCTTCTGAAACATCCTTCTTCTTTCCCCCCAAGCACCCTGTCTCGTAAATGGGGAGTTTTTAAACGTCTTTCTCGATTTGACTTCATCATTCCGACTCAGTTACATTGCAAGGGTACCTTTCCTGGTGTTTTGCTTTCCTCCCCTTGTTGCATAGCTATTGCTACAATCAGTACAAACTAGTTCATAGTCTGCCACTATTTACTCATATCCTCAAGTGTCAGTGAAATAATTTACCTTAGTAAAAAAAAAAAAAAAAAAAAAAAAAAAAAAAACAAAAAAAACCTGAAAATATTCCCACTGGGTAATGAAGTCCTTTACAAAATATATCTTCTACGGATGCCCTGAATTTCAGTAGGAAATAACAAAGGCGATCGGCCTAATATGCATGAAAAGGATACAAACATACTGGAGCAGACAGTCTCTTCCATGCTTTGTCATTTTAAAGGATCTCACTCAAGAAAGGATGAGCTATATTGTGCCATGTATATACAATTATATGGCACTGTCCTGCATCAGTAAACCCAGGGATCTTGTTTCCAGACTCGCTGGTTCCCAAGAATGCTGGGTCCCTTGTTTTTTCCTACTGGTACCAAGTGCAGCTGCTATACTCTTATTAACAGAGCTTAGAATTAAGCCCAGTCCTTGGGGTTAGGATCTAGGGAACTCATGGGCAAAGACCTAGTCTTTTGGTGTTCAGCACTTTAGGAGCTCACTAAAAATTGGTTAACTAGTAGAAACACTGCAAAAGGGATCACTAAGGATACCCACCCTTAGGACTCCAAGGGTACACTTGTCCCACACCACATGAAGCAAATTCTATTAAAAATTTCCCATCCTAACCCTATCTGCTACAAAGAACCTTGGTTGAAATATATATTTCTTGGAAATAAACTACCAAACAAACCAGTGGAAATTATTCAAGAATCAATCCTCAATTATTCAAGGACTAATTCAACAGGACACCTATTTCTTCTCTCCAACAGTATTGTTTTTGAATTCTTAGAACATTGATTGGAGAGTCTACAAGAGAAGAAAGATGAACTACAACCAACAAAAACTTGTCAGGGTTTGTCAAGTTCACTATCAGCGAGTTTAGAATAATGACAGAGAGTAGTTGTGACTTTTTTTTTCCTATCTAGGTAATAGTTGGTTATAATTAGAATAAAGTGGCAAAGGGGTCTGGAAAACATAAGTGGGGTAAAGGGAAGCCCTGTGAGGACCTTTCCCTAAATCCAGAGTCACGTGCAGGACCCATTTTCCCATCTCTAGCATGTAAATCCTCCCTACCCCAGTTACCTATTTTCTCATCTCCATTTCCCAGCAGATTCATGCAACTAAAATATTAATTACAGCACACGAATTCCCTTCACACCAACCCTTCCTACTATCACCACCCTCCCATTTCCACAATTAGGCATCATTTTAAATTTGATTTATTTCACTTACTCCTACCTATTAAATGACTAGGTTGGGATAAATAAATTTCAGTTTATATTCAGCACCATATTAAAACACGGTCCCTTCCTGCAATGAGCCGACGCTATTAAAGATAAACTACCTTTTTCCTAAAGAAAAGAAATATCCCCTGGAAATACTGTGACAAGTCCATATAATATATACACCAGCAACTAACCTAATAATTTTAGCTAGGAATTAAATCACTCTGTTCTGCCCTTGACAACCTCCTTCCTGCCCTTCACAAAGCCTGACTAAGGTAAAATGGTAATACGACTACCAAACATTTGAATAACTGTTTGTAGTTCTCAAACCCTTATTTTATTTTATCCTTTCAACAAAGAAAGCAAGACAAGCACTCCTGCTCCCATTTTCCAGATGGGGAAATCCAGGCTGGAAGAGGTAAAGTGACTTACACAATGTGATACATTTAGAGGCTAACTCGTCTTCTGATTCCCACTCTACCGCTCTATCCACAGCCACAATGACTCCCCAAATGAAGAAAAACTGTCACTGTCTTCCACTCAGCATGCCTGAACTCACCATCCTAGGAATCCCCTTTTACTCTGCCTGCTCTCTACTTCTGTCTACATGATCTTCTTGGGGTTGTTCCTGCCTCGCTGTCTCTACTGCATCATATACATGGACCCCAACTACTTGTTTTGCTAATTACGCCGTTCAAGACTATCCACAAGCAGAAAATGACAATAAATTCCTGTTAATGATCATTTTTACATCAGTAATTATTCCGTTTTGACATCTAGATCATGCCTATCCTGGTTATAAGGTAGTCCAACGAGGGTTATTAGTCCTACTCATAAAAAGTAAGGCTAACTGCTTCTGTGCTGTTTTTGCCAAACAAGAATCAGTGACTCCTTTATTACTTAAGATAGAGAAACAGAAGGAAAAGAAGCAAAAAAAAAGAAAGGAAAAAATTAAAAGGAGGAAAGAAAACAAAAAGTAGAAACAGGGGCATCCGGGTAACTCAGTCGGTTGAGCATCTGACTCTCAGTTGCAGCTCACGTCATGGTCCCACGGTCTTGAGATAGAGCCCCACGTCGGCTCGGCACTGAGCATGGATCCTACTTAAGATTCTCTCTCTCCCTCTTTCTCTCCCTCTGCCCCCCTCCCCCCGCTTGCACGTGCTCTATCTACAATTAAAATTTAAAAAAAAAAAGAGTATAAATAGAAGAAAGCAGTACAGTAGCGCGGACATACTTTGATGCTTTATTTACGAGGACTGACCCTTTTGCCTGAGGACAACCTTTGTCCTGAAAACAGGCCCTGCATGACTGGAGACAAACCAGCACCCTCCAAAATTACCAAAGAGATCTTATTTATTAGACAACAGCTATATTCTTTGCAGAGGTATGTCCAAAAGTTGACACGTCTGTGCTAACATGCTGGAAAGTCACTACAAACCTTTGACGTGACATCTGGCACAAGTCGGCCCATGTTGGATTTGAGCCACCGAAGTTAAATTACTTAAATGCCCCAAAGCTCTCACTGTAAATTTCACCGACAAAATTTTAACAAGTTCCAGAATCTTCCGTGTCACTGTGTGATAACAGTTACATTAAATTACAAGTGCTTGCTTCTAGTTTTCCCATTTTTTCAATTCCAAAGAATAAAACTATTTACTTGCCGTAGAAAACAGGTATAATTGAGATGCAAATTAAGAGTCTAGTAAAAGGGCCTGTCCAAAAATTATCCAGGACAATCTCAACTTTTCGTAATGTTTTATTTGAGCCTCATCACACTTAATGTCAAGACTTTCATGCATTCAAAGCAGCACCCGCAAAATGATATCTTCCTGCCAACCCTGTTCCACGTTCTCCTTCCTGACCCCCAACTGCAGCTTTTAACAGCTGCCAAGTATACCAAGCAATTTGTTTAACAAGCAAATCTTACCTAGTGGCAGTGAAGAAATAACTGTCTGGTGGTCTTTGGGATTGCTGTCCACCCCCAAGACTTCTCCTAAAGGTCCAGCATTAATTTAAAGAGACGAAAAGTAAAATCAATGCACTGTCGTAAAAAAAAGAACACTTCACATCCACAATTAATACGTTGAATTTTTGAATCGCTGACTTATTGCATAACTGCACACAATACCATTCAGTACACTAAAAACAAAATAGTTCTGGATGAGATGAACTGGGTTTTATCATTCATATTATACCCTTATCCTAAATTCCTAAACTAAAGTTTTCCCCCACTGTACCGCCCACAGGTGAAAGTTACAGGGATCATTTAATTCAACTTTAATTTCTCTCAGTGCCTTTATGTTTAAAATTGAAGTTACTTTGCACAACACACATTGGCAAATGAATAGATATTATGTAAGCAGTTTTTTCCCATATATGTAAATATTTAAATCACAACTTATACAAAGTATTCTGAAATAAGATCTTAGTGAAACAAAATTACACTCCTAGAACTAAAAGATACTATTTATTTTGTGACTATATGAAACTGCACGGTTAAAAAACTAAATACCAGCCTTTAATTCTATTTACTGGCAAATAAAATGATCAGTTTATATAAAAGACAAATTTCAACCAAAGGACTTTTTCATTTTTTTCAGAGTTGTAAACACTTTGCGTTTTTATTAATATTCAAAATGAAACGACCCGCTGTGACTCCTGATGAAAAGTTGATCAAAGGTAAAGGCAAGGATAAATATATAAAACCAAACAATTGTTTCTAACCCAGTTTATAGACCCATCTCAAATCACAGATAACAGCAAAGTGTTTTTCCCACATAAACAAATAGGGATCCGAGTCACCGGGTCTGGGTCGTCAGAACTTATCTGCTCTCCGATACTAAAACCTTGTATTTCTGATCGGCATCCATTCACACACATCTGGCTGCTCGCTCAGGTCGTCTAATTACTTCCACGTCTGAACGGACTACGTAGCTACAAGCAAAGGCCAAACTTTGCTCTCGGCCTTCCGAACTTAAAGAAGCGTTTAACCACTAGAGGTCTCCCCTTGGCCAGTTTTGCATGTTCGCTATTTTGCTGCACTTGAAACTTTCCGGAGAAATGCTCTACTCGAGTCAGTGTTTTTCTAAAAACTTGCGCAAAAATCCACGCGACCGACTTGCCAGTACAGAGACTCTCGGGCTCCCAAAACCAAGAAAGATATCACAAACAACGCTCCAGGAAAATCAAAATTAAAATTCGACGCACTCGCCCCACCGTCACCCCCCACCCCCCCGCCCAAAATCTTATTTCTCATCTCAGTTTCCCTTAACTTAAACTTAGAACAATTAAAAAAAAAATCTATTTTTGTTTCCGTGGACTTTGCATGATTTATAATGCATTTTTCTGGCGGTGGACCCGAGGTGGGAAAGGAGCGGGCCAAGGGATGCAAGGGAGGGGGAAGGGCTGTGCTCACAGCGCCCGAGGAAGTTGCATAAGGAAAGAGACTCCGTTTTTTGGGTCCCCTCAAAAATCGGCGGGGAGGGGGAGGAAAAGGAAGCGGGGGGGGGGGGAAGGCGGGGAGGAGGGAAACTGAAGCGACGTTTACCTTCGTCTCCCCGTGGAAGGGTGGGGTAAGGGCCACGGTCTTCGCGACCCCGGAGAGCGGCTCGTTACCCCCCACCTCTCTCCGAGCGCAGACGGACAAACAGACACCCCCACCCCTCCGCGAAGAAGGCGGGGAGGAAACCGCCTGCTTTTAAACTTTCTCTCACGGTCGCACTGTGGGCCATGCTTTGACCAGAAAGGGGGGGGGGTGGAGAGAGGAGGTAATCAAAAGGCCTTTTTCTTTAAAGGTAATTAAAGTTTTACCACCAGCACAAAAGTTGCGTCC